CATGTGATATGACAGGAACAATATTCTGTTTAGGACTTCACACCTACATGCAGCAGCCGCTCGGTATGTGTTTACCTGGCCTGCAGGTGAAGATTGACCGAAATACAACCTTGTGAATCACAGCAGTTAATAATTGTAACTGCTAATAAAAGAAAATGTGTTCAGTCGTAAAAGTGACAAAACAAACAAAAGGTCTTCACTCAAATCTGCAAACCGCATTTTTCAACTGCAAGCTTTTCCATTTCTTTGTCGATTTTCGAACATATAGTCAATCCGATACCCAGTATGAGAAGTATTTACACGTTCTTATTTGACGTTGTTTTTAATGCTATAACACCTATAATGAACTGGAAAGACTCGTAAATGCACAGTAAATTATTGGCAAGTATTTTGTTGATTGATTAACCGATAAATGCATTTTTAGCTTAAAGCTTTCACACTTTGAGGGTTTCGGTTTCTTCCATGTATTTGCTGGTTCTTTATATATATATAAGATATCTTTAGGACTGTTGATTGGATTAAAAAAAAGGAAATTCAATAAGCCACGTTGGGACAATTTAATGGATGTTTTTAACTATTTTCTGACATTTAATGATACAAATGATTAATGGAGTAACCAGGGTAATAAATGGCGGATTGATCGGTTATCTATTGTATGGGTTTTCTGTCAGCTTAATGAGGGCACTTGTTTTTAATATAAATGAAACATTGGGTTGCTATTCCCTCTAGAGTTCCCCTGCACTCCGTCATATGTCACAGCAGCCGAGACGAACGTTTTCAAATAGAGCAAAATCACAGGGAAAACCCGAGTGGTTCACTGTTCATCTTCAGGGACAAGAGGAAGAGAAACTGAAGAAAACCTCCTCCTGCCGTCGACCCCTTGACCTCACAGGAAAAAAACTCCTCGACACAACCAACCGTCCAATAAGTAAAACCTCCTATCACAGGATAGGAAGCAGGAAGCTGCTCGTTCACTCGACTAAACCACACCTCTGTTACAGTAACAGTGAAGGCAGAAGTCTTTCTACCTGGTGCATTTAGAGAAGCATATGGTACAACTGATAGCGCAATTTATGAAAACTTCAGACATAGTTTAGCGTTCTTCAAAGAAGAGGTGCGCCAATTATCATCCCAGATATGGGCAGCTTATGGGAGCCATCTGGACCAATTGAAACAGTCTTTGTCAGTACATGTAAAGGGGATTCATGGATGATTATTTGCAGACTTAGAGGTAAATAGGTGTTTGTATCTACACAGGCTGAGCATATTGAGAGCATTCACTTTTCAAATGTCCTGGAGCTTCAAGGCATATGCGAGTGTTTTTAGTATCTGATCACCCATTTTCTATACTGAAAAGTATTTTTCTGATTAATGTATTACTTTACAAAGTGCAGTCTAATTGGTTTATCAGTGCATTGTTTTAATCCCAAGTTGTTCAACGTACTGTTTCGCCTCTCTTGCCAACATACAAAAGAGTGTGCAACTTGATCCTATACCCAAAGTGAATGATGTCAGATAGAAAATAAAGGCATTAAGCTTTGTTTCACTAACAAATATTAAACTTCAAACTTGTACAATATACTTTTATGCATATAGGTGTGTCAGAAGTGGGTATAACCTGCACTCAGACATCACAAAGGTAGAGCAGCACTGCCAGTAACACGACACACACACACACACACACACACACACACACACACACACACACACACACACACACACACACACACACACACACACACACACACACACACACACACACACACACACACACACACACACACACACACACACACACACACACACACACACACACACACACACACACACTACACACACACACACACACACACACACACACACACACACACACACACACACACACACACACACACACACACACACACACACACACACACACACACACACACACACACACACACACACACACACACACACACACACACACACACACACACCCATCACTGACCCTTTTTCAACCAGGCATACCTGTAGGATGTATTGGGCCAACAGAGATCTGCAAGGCGCTGCTGGTAGACGGAGACCGAGGCTGGCATCACGAGTCCTCATGAAACATGGGAACAACTTCCTCATTGCGCTTCGAATAACCTGTCTACGAATATTAGAGGCAACACATAACCAGTTCATCAAACCTGAGTGTCTACACGCCAATCAAAGGGTTTATTTTCACCTGCTGGAGGAGAAGATGGGTACGTCTACTCAAGAAAACGTTGTCTATGTATGCCTGTCAAAGAAAGCACAATACGTTGACTTTCTATTGATATACTGTGAATTCTTGGCAGCCATTCCTCTGTCCTTGTCCAGGCACTTAATAATAAAACAATCTGACAAACTGATTAAGTGGGATTATAACAAAGCAGCTGCAAAGTTACATTTGCACCATGTGTAGGTAGTGACGCACCATCACACGGAGCGACGCAGCTGAGTAAACTGTACCTGTTTGACAAAGCCGTAATGAGGACAGAGCACAGGTCGTTAACTCATATAAAGTGTTATTCAACCCTTTCTCTATTCATGTGTAAGACAGAGAAGGCCAAAACAACAATGGCTACCCTCCTTCAACCTGACTCCAGTCTAAACACAGTTCTTTCTCTTCTGTTATATAATTGCTGCTTTTTTTTTAAAACACTGAAAAAGGGGATTTTACAAGTGGCAGACTAAAAACCGGGGGAGGAAACTCACTTGCTTGCAATTGCATCAGTTTGAGAGCAAATCCCTGCTTACATTATGCTATTGTACATCGTCTAACTCCACTTTCCTGGCTCTACACACAGCCAACTAAACTCTTACAGTAAAAAAAAGAATATAAAAGCTCAACAAAGCACATTAAAAAGTGATGAAATACAAGTTTTCATCCAACATTTGTATTTAGTTTGCTTAGAAAACAAGAAAAACATAGCAGGGCATTCATCACTTTTTAAATGTCAGCCTGTGAGCTTTGTTTACATTCTTATTGTGTATAAAAGTTGCAGCCAAAGAGGCTTAACTTTCAGAACAGTGATATAAACCCCATTCAGCCTGTGTTAAGAGGGATATGCTGGTGTACTAAGAGCACGAAAAAACATTTATGTAAGATAATATGGATTGCACTTATCCTTTGTGATCACCTGGAACTGAAGGCCACACAGGTACTCAGACCAACATAGCATGTTCTAATTTGTGTTGCCTGATTAAGTGCAAAATGCACAGTGGCTTTACTGTTTATTTTGCATGTAACACACTCAAGTCGCAGGCTGTGATATACAATGTTTAACTGAAACCAAAGTAGCAAAAATAACCGTCCTGAGGCTGTAAATCCGAGCCTTCCCAAACCTGAAATCCTATTTAACTTTCCACATCTGGGTTAGGGTCTGAAAAACGTACACTTGAGAAATGCTTTCAACTGAAGGACTTGTCTCCATCTTTACCTACTTCCTAATGTCCATACCTTGGCTTATTTTCCACAGCCCGAGATATTTTGAAGCATCTGACTTGTGGAAGCAAAAATAAATTGCTCATTCATGCACCACAGAGAGAATTCCTTCGCTCTCACCTAAACATAAACACACCTTTTCAGCGGGTAGCCAATCATTTTGTCCCCCCCCCCCTCCCTTACCTTAAAATAAAAGTCGGATATCAGTTTTTCTCGTAAAAAAAAATGACATGGCCACATCAGCCTTTCACCAAAGGAATGTCATCTGACGTCATCTATTGAGGATCGGATTTCTCCCTCTCCTCTTTCTCTCTTCCCTGAAAAAGTAACCGTGTGTGTGTGTGTGTGTGTGTGTGTGTGTGTTATTTGTTTTCCCCCTAGCCTATATCCCCCCCCCTTCACCGCTCATATGGCAGCATGACAATTAACTCCTGTTATTACGACATATAACCACTAAAAAAAAAAAAAGTGTCTCTCGAGTGATCTTTGGCATCTTACATTTTCCGACCTATTGCTGCCTGCCACATCTCCTGTCTCCTCTTCGCTGATGGGCTGAAGGACCTCTAATAGGCAGGCCACTGTCCTCTCATGGAGGTACAGGGGAGGCAGGAAATCGATCGTTTCGAGCAGGAGACCAATGTTTGATTTCCACGTCTGCATTAGAGAGGAGGCTGAGAGAGAAATTTGTCTTCCCTGCTCAAATAGACAGACACGTAGTCGTTTCTGAGAGGGGGAGAGAGAGGGAGAGCGAGAGGGAGAGACTGACTGGAAGGAATGCTAGGATATGCTGGAGTTTGGATTTTTTTCCTCTCCAAAGCCTTTTTTCCTGCATTCTGCATTTGCACACAAACTCTATGGAAAGTCACTAAAACATAGCCCCCTTTAAAATGCCCCAACAGTTATCCAATGCCTAATAAGCCCCTATAGTGTCAATTCAATGATTTCGCAACCCCCTCTCTGTCAAATTGTACTGCCTCAGCATCTTCCATTCCAACTTATTTTCCAGCTATAAAAGTGTTCATTTCCTGATTTTCAGCAGCCTCAACACAACAGACAATTTCCACAATGCAAGTCCCAGATGAATAAGTGCATTTTGTTTCAGGAATAGGCAAAAGAGGGAAGCTTTTCTCCTGTTGCGCACTACTCCATCTGAAGTCCTCGGAGACAAAAACACATTCTTTGGTGAAAGCAGAGAAATCGGGACCACAAAGAGCAGACTGCAAACGCACACATTCACTCGACTAGTGTGAAGAACTAACACGATCATTCCCATCGAAAAGCTATTAAGTTGTTGTTACCAAATAAACGGGAAAATGTGCCCAAAAGTTTCGATTCACCCCCGTCACCAGCAGCGAATCCGTTTTCCTTTTTCCTTTGCGCTGGCCAAGTGGCCCAGACTGCCGGCGTCAGCGCTCAGCTCTCCAAACTCCACACACACTCACACACACGCACTTCTAAAACTTTTTCAACAACGATTTCATCGACCTCCATTAACGTTTTTTGCGGGGTGGTGTCGTGCCGTTAAAGAAGTGTAAAGAGAACTCACCTCGCTGCAATAAAGTAATCTTCAAACAGACGGGGCTGCGTGTTTTTTTATTCCCAGGGTCGGGTCTTGCCTGTCTGCTGGCGCGGCGCAACGGGTACTGGGAG